TAGTTCAGTGTCCAGTTTCAGCTTTTGCTGGGGCCACTTCAACACCCTTCCCCACCAGAGAATACAGTTTACCCAAGGACTGAGTATATTTTTGTTTTTGAAGATGAACAAATCCAAGTTCCAAAGCACAGACTTCTTCAAAACAAGACAGGGCTCCAGACAAGGCCATGGCCCTGACTTTTAGGAACTGGAAGGGGGTGTACTTTCTAGTAACCTCTTGGAGGAAGATGATAGCTACAGTTGTGAATCAAGGTCTCCTTGTCCTCTAGCCTAGCTTCCCTGTTAGAAGCTGTGGGATTATCTTCTTTCAAACAATCACAGAGCACCAGCTTTGTCCCCAAGCTCCTTCACCCTTCTTTCTGTAACAGGGAGACATTCCCCATGAAGCCTGAGTACAGTATCCAGGCCACAAGGTGGCCACTATATGCATCCCTTTCAGATAAACCTCTTGGCTTCCCCCAACCCAATACAGGCCCACCTTGGTTAGCTCATTTTTGCACTCAACAAAAACTTCTTGAGCACTTATTATCTGCCAAGTATAGTGCTAGACACTCAGAGACAGACCTGCTGAGTTAGAGACAATCTGTTTTTTGTGTGTAAGCCAAACTATAAATAGAAGTTATTAATATAATGTGTTAAAATGCAGTGAGGAAGGAGGAAAAGGAGCACCATGGAAACCCAGAAGAAAAGAAGAGGGACTTAGGTAGGGTTTCAGCATGAGCTGCAGAAGGTGACACCTGATCTAATCAAGAAAGGAAATTGCTATTTCTCACCTATAACTTTACTAAGTCATTCATCTCACACACACACATGGAGGAAGTGACCCTTCCCTCCAACCCACTCACGTTCTCTGGCGGCCCCCCATGCCCGGCCATCTCGGCTCTCAGCACACAACTCTAGAAGTGCTCATTCCATCATCTGACCCCCAGACCAGACTGTAAGCCCTGGGAAAACAGCAACAAGTCCAACCAGGTTCTCTGTTGAGAGCATACACAACCCTTAACAAAGAGCCCAGCTTCTAGTAGGCATACAGTTAATATTCATCACATTGAATAACACATCTTTTGAGAACCTAATATTGTGAAAGCCCCATGTTGGTTCATGGTGATACAAGTTCGACAAATATGCTTACATAAGTAATTAACAAGTGGAGTTGACAAATGGAAATATTAAATGAATGATACAGATTGAAGAAGTTGGGAAGAGTGGCATGTTCAATTCAGCTCAATTAGATTCAGTCCAACAAACATTAACTGTGTCTTCTGAGAGGAACATTCTATGAACAAGTAAGGATACAAAAATATATCAGAAGAAGGAAGCCCTTACACTCACATGTAAACTTAGAGGAGAGAATACAAGGCCACAAAATAAAGATCTACCTAAATCAGAGGCCATGAAGTTTCAAGGGCAGGAGCCTCAGAAAAGATTTTAGAAGGGCTTCAGAATGCATCTTGAAGTAAAGCACTTCTCCCATGTGGGTTCAGATTGAGTGTGGGGAAGAACTCATTCTGGGAAGAGAAAATAACAGAGGCAAGTAGGAAGAACATGGGTGGTGTGTTTTGGAAAGTTCAGCTTGACAGTCCTCTACAGACAGCGCTCAGGAGGAGAAAGAGCCTGGCTTCAGGGACTCAATGACCCAACCAATTCTTCCAGAGCCTCCTATATCCACAGTGTTGCAGCCCCAGGACCCCAGGTGTCTGTGGAGTGGACACAGTCTGCTTTGGTCCACCCAATATCTCTGCTTCCTTGGAGGGCCATCCACCTGCCCCCATTCTGCATGGTCTTATTAGGACTTCAGTCAGGGTAGCCCACCCCAAACCCCAGCCTCAGGGGTGAATACTGAAAGCTCCATCATAAAAACCAATCCCCTGCAGTAACAGGGCGGCCCAGTGGCTGGCATGTGACTCAAGGATGGCCGTTAATATCTTTTCCTGAACTGATACATAGACATTGGGAAAGAGAAGTACCTTTTTAGCTGATGTTGCTAAACTGGGAGAAAATGAATTGGAAATATTTGTGGCCATCCTCTCTGCCCCATAGAAACAGCCTGCCAGTGGCATGAAGCCAACACACAGAGGAAGCCAAGCTGAAGAATGGAGAAAGGGCCTGATAACAGGCTTTAACAGATGCCTGCGTTTTTAAACTTGGATGGATCCATTAACAGAAATGCAGAAGTCAGGAGGATGAGCTGACATCCAGAGGAAGATGGTATCACCCCAAATCACCAAATCCAGAGCTATAAGAGATCATAAAAAGATTCGGCTCAACCAGTCATCTGATGCTCGTACTTTCTGTTTTCCCCATAGTTAAGTTTCACTCCGCTAGCTTCCTTCAGTCAACAATGTTGATTAAACATTTGATCAGTTTGGTGAGCAAAGCATTAAGGGCCTTCTTTCTGAGGAGCTTACCATTTAGTTGAGGGGAAAGGAAACCAATGAATACATAATATAGTGTCAGGTTTCAAATGTAGGCTATTAGGAAAAAATGAAGAGGGTCTCATGATGGCTTTGGGTATGCTGCGTTAGATTAGGCAGCCAGAGAAGGGCTCTTGAAGGAGAGCATACATAAGCAGAGCTTGAATGATGGGAGGAAATAAGTCATACAACTACCTGGAGAAAAAGAGGAAGGCTGTTCCAAGCATAAGTCACCGAGGTAGGGGAGTGCTGACAGGGCCATCGGACGCCCCCGAAGCTAGGTGTGTGCAGAGATAGGAGGGCATGGGAGAGACCTGCAGGGGAGGAGGTCATGGTAGTAGTCGGTGGGCTTGGTGAGCCACGGTGAGTATGACCAAAAACCATTAGAGAGTTTTAGGTAGGGGATGCCCATACAAAGAATACCTATGAGAGTCCTGACCCAGGTTCCATTAATTGGAGATGGACTTGACTTGAAAGTAGAGAAAGACAGTAAGTGGGCAGGAAAATGAAAAGGAGGTCAGGCAGGTGAGCCATACAGAGCTGGGAGCAGCAATAGAAACACAGCTGATACGTTTGGAAGAGGGGCAAAGATGATGGATGCAGTGGAAATTTTAACTAAAACCCAGCGGTTCAGAAACCAGAAGAGGGAGGATGGCATCCTACTTTGGTGGGCTTGGATGTCAGGCTGAAGGAATGACTCCTTATCAGGTGGGCAACAGGGAACCATTAAAGGTTTTTGGAAAGGGAGGGTGACCTCACTCTCTGCCTCAGCAGATCATAATCGTGTCCCAGGAGAGGACGTGTGTTGAAGTAGGAATAAGCATGAGCTGGGATTCAGGCAGCGTTAGTTCAAGCACAGATTCCACTCTTACTTTGTCATCTGGGACCACCCATGAAAAGAATGAGACCAAGGAAAGAAATCAGAAATATATCAAAGAGGTGCCTCATCTCCCACAAGGAGTGAAGGGGGCAAACTACTTTATCTTTGTAAATAAAACTTTATTGGAACACAGGCACACTGTCCATGTACACATCATCTGCCCACAACAATGGCAAGGTTGCGTGATGGTCATAGAGAACATATTCCTGGCAAAGTATGAAATAATAACTGTCTAGCCCTCCTCAGGAAAAGCTTGCTGGCCCCTATCCCTCAAATCTTACAGACTCAAACTTGATATAATAGGTTGGCCATGGTGCAGAAGGAGAGAAAACATAAAAACTCCTGGATTCACACATAGCAACCTAGAAGGGAGGAGAAGTTAACAGGATTGGCAGTTTTCCCTAGGCATAGGGGAAAAAATATTTTCTCCTGACAGACAGTCAGATAATGGCAGTTTTAGTGTGAGATAAAGAGATCAGAGATAGAAATGGACAAACACAGATGAGAAAGATGGTCAAACCAAAGAGAGAGCAAGCGATGGAGACAGGTGAAGAGATAGTATTTGATATATTTCCAATTTATTTATATATCTGTATGCGTGTGCATATATACATGTGTATGTGTGTATATCTGTATCTATATACCAGTGTACATATAGTAGCCCCACTCTGGAGTGTTGACAGAGTATTTAAAAAAAAATATCCTCAACACAAAGAAAATTTCTTGGGTGGAGATGTCAGAAAGTCATTTCTTCATTCCAAACTATCCTGAGATAGAAAATCAGGACATATTGTCCCAAGGGGTAACTGTGTTGACAGAGACTAAGACAAGATCAATACTGGGTTTTGATAGTAAAGTTTGCAGTACGTGGAGGTAAATAAGACCATGTTCCCTGAATGCTTTTATCAGAAATATCGGCTGCAGGTTTATGAGGCTTCCTTCCCAGTCTGTCTCTTTCTGAGCTTATAAAAGTGCTTTTAGGGGATGTCTTACTGATTGCAAATATCACAAATGGAAGTAATGAGTTTTTAAAACCACAAACCCCACCCCCCCAAGAAAACAAAGCTGTTTCCTGATTTTAGAGACAGGAAGAAGGGCCTATTATCCCAGGGAAGAAGAGTCTGGCTGGCCTCGGGAAAAGCCACAACCCCTTTTCTGAGTGCACGCCATCAACCAAGACCACAGTCTGATGACTGAACGGTATCAAAAGCCTTGCCAGAGGTAGAAGAGAGGGCTCAGGAGAAAGGAAAAGAGGGTGAACTAGGGAAGATCCTTCCATGCCATTCACCAGCTTTGCTCTGGAGTGATTCATGGTGCCTGGTGCGGAGGCTGATAAACCAGGATCTGAATTCCAAATCTGACACAGGGTTGCTGGTGGATCCTGGGCAAGAAGTGAACGTTCACCACTTTGTTTGAGGACCTACAGATAGTTTTCTATAGTTGAGGTAGGTGGCACTTGTGGGGACAGAGCAGGAGGCAGCGGGGATGAGAATGACAATACACAACTACAACCATGCCCACCACAATAATTGCTGTCATTGCCCGAGTGTTTGTGCCCAAAAGTGCTTCAAGTGGCTTAAAATACGAACTCCTCTTCTCACGATAGCCTTCAGAGGCGAGTTATTACGAATACGAGCTCCGTGGGATAAATGAGACTCAGAATGGCGAAGTGAAAAAAAGCGAAAATTTGAATCCAGAAAGCCCACCTGAGGGCCTGCAGGGTTATCTGCTCTGCTCTGTGTCTTCTGCGATGAGGCTGGAAAAATAAGCAGGAGTTAGACCATAGTATTAATTTCCTACAGCTGTCGCAACAAATGACCACAAATTGGGTGGCTTAGAACAACAGAAATCAATTCTATGTCAAGGGCCATGCTCCCTTTGAAATCTCTGGTAGAGGGTCCTTCTCTGCCTCTTCCAAACTCCGGTGGCTCTTGGCAACCCTTTCCTTCTTGGTGTATAGGTGTATCACTCCAATCTCTGCTCCCATCTTTACATCACCCTCTATTCTGTGTCTCTGCGTGTCCTCACTTCTTCTTACAAGGACATCAGTCATTGGATTTAAAGCCCACTCTGACCCACTATGACCTCATCTCAATCCTAAACTAATTATATCTGCAAAAACCCTATTTCAAAACAAAGTCATGTTCTGAGGTTCCAGGTAGACATGAATTTTGTGGGGACATTATTCAATCCACTACAATCATGAAGCCCTTAAGTTCTAACCTTATCTTGCAGGGGCTAAAGAGACAAGGCTCTTTCATCTAGCGCTCCTTGGGTTATAAGTGATAGAAACTCAGCTCAAATTGGCTTAAGCATAAAAGGCATTTGTAAGTTCAGGTAACTAAAAAGCCTAGGTATACACTTTAGGTATGAAAAATTTCAGGCAGATCTGCTTCCAGGAGGCCAAACTAATACCTTATCTCACCATCTCTCAAGTCTAATTTCTCTTGTGTTGGCTTCCCTGAAGCATAAATTCTGCCCAAATCCCTGGCTGATAGCTAAACTATGCACACATGGGAGAGAGGCAGACGGGCCAGCAAAAAGCATAAAGAGATCAGGAGGAAGTCTACTCTTTAAAGATAGAGGGACAAGGGATGAGATCTGTGAGTGTTCTGTTCTCTTTTGTTTTGTTTTTTTAACTCTGCACCACTTCGCACAGCTTGGGGAGCAGAAAGCCGAAATCTTATGGGCTTGAAATCTCAGGAGACAGAGCCTGGGGTTAACAGACAAATTAGAAATATGGGGTGGGGGGGAATCCCTAGGGAACAAAATTACTGAAAGTGTGAGTCCCATTGTTGCCCAAATTCTTGACAAATAACCAAGTTATGCAGGCATCCGAAAGACTCCCCAGGAACCAGGCTAAAGAAGCCACAGGAATAGAGCAAAAATATCAGGTACTACAATATCCTTTCAAGCCAGGCAGGTTAAGTGCTTCCAATAACAAAAATCCAATAATCCTCAGAAGAACACAACATAATACAGAGTCACTACAATGTATTATCTGCAATGCCCCATTTTCAACCAAAAATTATTCCATGTGCAAAGAAACAGATAAGAAGAATTCACACTCAGGCCTTAGGAAATGACAATACCTGGGAACAGATGTTGTAATTATCAGACAAAAGTTTCAAAATATGGTAACAATGAATGATCATGTAAGGAACGAAGAAAACAATCAGTGAATATGTAATAGGAAGATAAATCAATGGAAACTATCTCATCCAAACAACAGAGATTAAAAGTAGTGAAAGAAAATAGACAGAAGCTCAGAGCCCTGTGGGAAAATATCAAGCATGATCCAGCATGTGTAGAATTAGAATCTAAGGAGAAGAAAAGAGGTAGAAGGGGGCAGAACAGTTCTTTGAATCAATAATGGCCCCACACTTCCCAAGCTGGCTGTAAAGAGGGTAAGGGAGCCAGCCTTCTGCACATAAACTCAGATCTTCATCAGGACAGAATTAGCTTCGGAACATTTGGCCCAATGGGTCACAGCTGAAGGACAGCTCTTAGGTGGTGGCCTATGGGCGAAGAAATGCGGAAGTCAGAAAGACCTAACGTGAAAGCTCAGGTGTACCCTTTCCCTGCCATGTGACACTGACTGGTCATTTCAATGCCTCGAATGCTTCGTATCCTCATCTGTAATATGGGGTGTCTCCTATGCAGGTGATCTTGCTCTCCCGTCCTGAAGTGGCATATGAGGAGCATTTCTTTTTTACTAATTTTTTTTTTTTACTAATATATTTTATCTCTCCCACAGAACATAAATTCCAGGAATGGGGGGGGGGGGACTTCTTTTTTTTTTTTGTCTGACTGCTCACTCCGATATCCCCAGCACCAAGAACAATGGCCAATGTGTGATAGGTACCCAGTAAATATGGGTTGGAAACAGACACGTGTGACTGAATCAAGGAGCGGGTTGCCAGCAGAGAGCCTGCAGAGTGTGGAGGCTCAGTGAGCACTCTTTTCCTCTCCTCCCACACTCAAGGAAATGGATCTGCCAGTTACTGAGGGACTCCGCTCTCGGCTCTGGATGCATTCTCATCCCAGTCAAAATAAGATGATTATTTGGCTGAGTGAGACAGGAAATGACCAATAGCCACAACTAATGACACAGCTCCGGGCCTGGGAGATGAAAGAACAGCTCTGTGCAGAGGGAGCAGCGAGGGAGCCACAGGAATGTGAGACAGAAGCATTTTTTAAGGATTATTCCTAATGAAATGATGCCGCTTGCCTTCCAGTTATTCTTTGATAAATCTGACACTCACCTTACACAACTCCACTAGGATTTAGTCAGATGGAATCCTCCCTGCCTCTACACCCACTTCTCAGGAAAAGGGTAAATTGTACTCAACAAATGAGAGAATTAGAGTCCTGCTTCTCTTCGGGGCCACAGACCTGTGCCAGGACCTGACAAATATTATGGACCCTCTGCCCAGAAAAAGAAAAACACAGACAGACAATGTTTTGCATATAATTTCAGGGTGTTAAAGATCCCATCAGCCAGATCCATGAACCATATGGTCTGAGACAAAGTGCTCCATTTTGCAGATGAAAATACCAGAGTGCAGAGAAGGTAGCCCAAGGTCACATAGTAGGGTCTCTAATAAGAAACAGCTACACACCAACCCCCTAACTCCTAGTATCAAGTCCAATGTCATATTCATTGCTTAGTAATTATTTCGATTTTCATTAGCAGTCAAAATATTTACTGTCACCTCTCCTGAGCAAGGTATGTGACTCAGCCTGTAAATATCCACTCGGGTGGGATACAGTAGGAGCCGAAAATCATGACATGAGGGTTTGTGCCTGAGACCAGTGCAGATTTAAGTCTTGGCCCTCCTCTTAGCTGTGTGATCTTGAGTCATTACTGAACATTTCTGAGCTTCTGTTTCCCTTGTCTGGACGATGAAAATTAGGAGTACTGACTTCCCAGGGCTGTTGCCAAGATTAAATGAGATAGTGCTTGTGAAGCATGAGCTGTTATCAGTAGTAGCTGGACCTTTAAAACCTTAAAGCAGTTTCCAAAATGGATGTACCAAATATTTTGAGTAGCAGCAATTTGAGATAAGTGCCCAACTATCTACAGTAAGGACTGCAGTCAGGGGCGCTAATAATGTGCCTCCTGAATTTAAGAGAAAGGCCATCCGTTGAGAGTTAAACTCATAATATTCAAAAGAAAGAGAATGTTTCATCAGGATAGGCTGTTATTCTCCCACAACAAATAATCCTCCAAGTCTCGAAGGCTTACAACAATAAAGATTCATGTCTTATCCACACGACTTACCCTCCACTGGTTCCACTTGGCCTTGACTCCGTGACCCAGTTGTGGAGCAGACTCTACCTAGAACATGGCCTGGCATCAGGTCAGTAGGGAGGAGTAAAGAGATGTGACAAACCACACGCTGTCTTCTGCCTGGTAGCGACACGTATCACTTCCACCTACATGCCATTGGCCAGAGCCAAGTCACATGGCTGGGTCATTTATCCATGGGGTAGGGAGGCATAAATCCACACCCCTCCCCAAGATGCAATGAATGTTCATGAACAATAATGCAATCTACCGTGGTAAATGGGAGCTGCTTTTTGCAGAATGGGCTATCCTAAGTGATGAAATGTAATTATGGAGCTGAAATACTCAAGTCCCATCCAAATGGTCAGTTGAAAAAAAAGAGTCTTCCCATGACATAGAACAAAAGCCAAGACCATATCAAAATGATCCCAATGAGGCAAACCTGAAAGAAGGAGCTGAGTAAAAAGACCATGATCTACACAGAGGCTGGAAAAGTGGAGGTCTGGCTGGGGGCAGGGGGGTGGGGAAGACAAACCCTGAATGTCACCATCACTGCTCAGGAGAAAGAAAATTCTAATCATCCGACAAGAGTTTCCTGGCACCCCGGCAAGCATGTTTTTGCCACGGAGAGATCTGTAAGATAGGGTCATAAAAATACATACCACTCAGTGTGGTCATGGGAACTTTTAGGTAAAATAATGAGTGTGATGTACTGAGCACAGTGCTTGGTCCATATTACGGTCTCATTAAACGCTAGCTCATATAGATAGAGACGCAGACAGGGACACAGACACTGATGTATTTCCCATCACACCCAGCAAGGCTGTGAGCCTCAGACCCTGACTGGACCCAGCACTCCCCTGCATCATCATGAAGCATGGCCCAGAGCCCTCGTATCTATATTGTGCGTTAATGCTTGCAAAGTGCATTCTCATCCACTTTTTCCTGTTCAATCCCTGCAAGTCCATGAAGGGCAAGCTCCCACGGTTTGCTTTTTGTTGTTGTTGTTGTTCTGTTTGTTTTTATTGCCGCATAGCTGGCACACAACGTTACACTGATTTCGGGTGTACAGCATCATGATGCGACAGCTCTGTAAGTTATAACCACGCGCACCACAGGGCAGCCATCTGTCCCCACTCAGCTCTATGATACCACTGACTATATTCTTACCTTTTATGCCCGTGGCTTACTCTTTCCATAACGGGAAGCCTGTACCTCCTACTCCCCTGCATCCATTTTGCCCATTCCCCCACCCCCTCCCCTCCAGCAACCACCAGATTGTTCTCTGTGCTTATGGATCTGTTTCTGCTTTGTTTGTTTGTTCATCTGTTTTGTTTTTTAGATTCCACATATAAGTGAAATCGTATGGTATTTGCCTTTCTCTGTCCGGCTTATTTCACTCAGCATAAATACCCTCCAGGTCCAACCATGTTGTCACAAATGCACGGTTCCACGGTTTTTTAAGCGGCAAAGCCAATCTCCAATGCTGACTTCACCTGATGCCTTTGGGCTACAAATCCTGTGCTCTTTCTCCAATGAATTCTACCTGAAGCAGAATTCTGGCCACATTTCTTTGATCTCTCTCTGTCTCTCTCTGCAATAGTTACTTCAAAGGGATATTATTTGAAAAATAAAGATACTCAGCTACCTTACTTTTCATTCAGGGCATGCATCCTTTTCCCCATTCTCCAGCATGTCCGACCTGGGATATGACTGGCGTTGGGTAGTTTCGGTCCCTGTTCTGGGCTCTGTATGCCCTGGCACAGAAGGCTGCGCTTGCTTCTCATTGTAACAAGGTTGCACTAATTAGCTGCATTTGATTTTGCATATGGAGAGTGGATGCAAATGAATGCAAAGCAGTATGCAAATGAACAACATCCTGGCTCTCCAAAAGAAGGATCCTGCGGTACTGATGTCATGACAATGTATATTAATAGTCCATCTCATGAAGGCGTGATATTTTTTCGAAAGGGGCAGGCATCCAGGTTCTTTTTTTCTGGAATAATAGTGACTTTCTATTGAATTCCAAGCTTATGATCCTTGACAGGAAGTCTGTTAGCCATCGAGCTATATTCTCAATAGAAGATTCTTGTAGACAATGCCTACAAAGGACAAGCTTAGGAACTGAGCCGAATAGACTGTGGTTCAAAGTCCTGCTCTTTGCCTGGGCAAGCAACTTAACCCAAGTCTCAGTCTCCCCAGCTATAAAATGGGGTTAACCAACCCCACGACAGAGCTATGGGTGAGGACTAAAGGAGGTAATGTTGAAAGTCACCTGACATACAGTAGGCGCTCAGTAAGTGTTCATTCCCTTTGCCACACTCACTCCTCTGGAAGTCTAAAATGACAAATAAAAGGCATAGAGGGGGCTCATCTCCTAATCCTTGCTTGCCTTGCATTGCAATCCTAACTTGCCTTTCCAGTTAATGCATCTTCTCTAGTACAAAGCTGTGTCAGAGCTCAACCATTTTTCTTAAAGATTTTATTTATTTATTTGAGAAGGAGAATGAGAGAGAGAGAGCATGAGCTGGGGCAGGGGGAGCAGACTCCTTGCTGAGCAGGGAGCCCGACATGGGACTCCATCCCAGGACCCCAAGATCATGACCTGAGCCGAAGGCAGATGCTTAACCGGCTGCGCCACCCAGGTGCCCCTCAATCATTTTTAACATAGAACTATGTGATCTCTTAGAGTCCATCACAAGTGAGTAGATGACTGTCCTGCTCCCCAAAGTACCACCTGCTGAAAAATAGCAGCTACTCTTACAAAGCTCCTTCCATCATCCACCCTTCCCCAAACTGGTGAGTTCCCCCACTTTCAAGATTTAGTTCAAGTACATGGTATCCTGGAAGCCCCTGAGCGACTAGGGGCTCCCCTCTGTGCTCCCAGAATGCCTGTGGTCCCATGCATGCCTGTGTTCTCTTACTGTAGCCTCTTGGCTTATCTTCCTGCCTAAATATACTAGATGTTTCTCGTGGACAGGGACCGTTTCTTTCTTTCCCTTTCTTCTTTCTTTCTTTCTTTCTTTCTTTCTTTTTCTTTCTTTCTTTCTTTCTTTTTCTTTCTTTCTTTCTTTCTTTCTTTCTTTCTTTCTTTCTTTCTTTCTTTCTTTCTTTCTTTCTTCTTTCTTTCTTTCCTTCCTTCCTTCCTTCCTTCCTTCCTTCCTTCCTTCCTTCTTTCTTTCTTTCTTTCTTTCTTTCTTTCTTTCTTTCTTTCTTTCTTTCTTTCTTTCTTTCTTTCTTTCTTTCTTTCTTTCTTTCTTTCTTCTTGTTTCTTTTCTTTTTAAGAGAGGGAAAGGGAATCTTAAGCAGACTCCACACCTAGCGTGGAGCCAGACGTGGGGCTGGATCTCAAAACTCTGAGATCATGACCTGAGCCAAAATCAAGAGTCAGATGCTTAACCAAGTGAGCCACCCAGG